GAATGAATGCCTTCAGGAAATTAATTAATTAATTCGATCTATGTGATCTCCCAACGTATTTTTTAACAATTGTTGTTACTCTGCTGTTTTTTACGACTACTTGATATAGATAGTAAATAGACAGGAATCGTTTTTATACTTATATTATATTTTAATTTTAACAGTGCCCCCGATTAGTAAGCTTAAGGCTAGCTAGAAGACTAGACACTCAAATAAAGTTATTATTATTATTATTATAAAGAAATCTCAATCTCGGCAAAGCATTTTATTAACTCATTTTCGAACTTGTTCCCTGGTTGTGAACCGCTAATGGCAATATAGTGGAATCCCGATTTTTCGAACCTCCATGGAAACGAAAATTGGTTCGAAAAATCGGATAGGTCGAGAAATCGGGGATAAAATTACAGTGTTCGACTAAGGAGAAGGAAACGGCTTTTGGTTCGAGTTATCGGGGGGATCGAAAAAATGAGGGTTCGAGAAATCGAGATGCAAAATGCTACCTTCGATCACCATGGCAACAAAACAAATCATAGCAACAAAACCTTAAATGCGTCACGAGCCACGATCGGGGATCACTGGCCCTGTTATGAGTTTGATCGGAAGATTCAGTCTAAACTAAACACTTCTGAGTTGTACAAAACACGGAGTACAGAAAACGCTTGGCTTCAATACAATACAATTCAACCACTTCATTTGTGTGTCAAAACTACATTGTGTACCAGCCGACTGCCAAAGCAGGGAGCCTATTAATTAAGGACATCTAATACTTAAAATGAAGATAAATATAAAATGACCATGAGAAATATTTGTATTAATGTCCAAAGATTCTCCAACAACTTAAGCAACAAGCACTAGCCAGACAGGCAGTGAGCAGGTGTACTTTTGGAAGAGCGTAGCATACATAGTGTGCCTTTGCGAATCAGGGCCGTATTGTCTGAACACAGAAGGGTGTCTGACCACACACAGCAGGAGGGTCACGTCACGGCTCATTTCTTCTTCGGTTTTACATCTATTTTCTTGTCCCTCTTAATTAATTATTTAGATG